TAATAAACCACAGAGGTTGAAGTCAAACAAAATCTTCATACTTTCAATGGTTTTCGAGGAACTAGTCAACTGATTCTTGCAATAGGTAGCTGGTTTTCATTAGTAGTATCTTCTTCAGAGGTTGATTCAATCTTGATATTACATTCCTGGATTTGATGACAGATGTTATATGGAAGGTCTGTTTGTGGTAATGCAAATATTCAGAACATACCAAGGGCCTCGATGGGTGTCATTTAGGAAAATATACCTGTACCAAGGAAAGTCGATGACCATTCAGACTTTTTTTCAAAGTGTCATCCTTCATATTGAATTGAAGGAAAGGTCCTTACAAAGGAATACTATTTTAAACAATATTCCTATATTTCGAATACAGTATTGATGATTGAGAAGTGGTCACTGAAATTCAACAAATTACGATACCTACATAATTTTAACACGATGTTTTATCATAGCATGGCAGAAATAATAAATGTAAACAAACAAACTCCATGATGCTAGATGCTTGCTTGGCTTGAAAGGGCACACCAATGACGTAATTCACGCTGGCGCTGATTGGCTGGAAATTTATAAGGCAACCTGTCTATTTTAATGATCTTGGCCTGAGCCTATGTTCGTTTTATTTGGGTTTTGTCCGCCATTAATATTGTTGTCTGTGTTAAGTGTTGTGTGTTGTTTATAGTTTCATAGTTTGTATTTGTGAAAGTTAAAGTTGAGGAGTGTGAAACTGTGAAGGTTGACAAAGGCACTAAAGGTCAGAAATTATTTTTATAATCGTTGAATTCAATATGAAAAGGCGCTATCAACCGACTAGGAGGAAGTTTGTGCTCAACAAGTACTATAGAAAGCTTGTTGATAGAACTGCAGAAGGGAAATTTAGTAATGAAAATGAAAGACAACACGATATTAACATTAACGAAACATCACGTAGCTTCCCTTCTACAAGTTCCATCCCTTCTACAAGTTCCATCCCTATGACCAATTTCTATTCATCAATGCCTGATGAAAACTATCATTCTGATGATTTGGCGGATTCAGATGAAAGTAGGAGTTCTGAAATCATTGATGAAACTTCTAGTTCTGGTAACTTAAAAACAGTAGGTGTTGAAGTTATTTCTGAACAAACTGAAAGGGATACTATGAATTCACCTTTATCCATATGGGCATTGAAACACAACATACCACATACAGCTATCAACGATTTGTTGAATATATTGAAGCCGGTTTTTAGTGATTTACCTCTAGATGCTAGAACGCTTTTGAAAAACCCCGAAAAACTATTTCAGCATCTGTTGAACCTGGCTCGTATTGCCATATTGGTTTCCGAAAGTTCCTAGAGAAGCTTTTAACCAGGTCATTTCATTTATTTCGGGATGATAATCCTTTGTTGGAAGTATGTATTAATATTGACGGTCTGCCAATATCAAAAAGTTCTGGCAGTCAACTGTATCCAATTCTCTGCAACTTGTTTTTGAATAAAAACGATGTTGAAATCATAGGTATTCATCATGGTAATGAAAAACCTAAAGAAGCAAATGAGTTTTTGAATTTCTTTGTAAATGAATCATTAGATTTCATCAATAATGGAATTTTGTTTGGTGGTAGATTATACAAAGTGAAAGTGAAAGCATTCATTTGTGATGTTCCTGCTAAATGTTTCATAAAATATGTCAGGGGACACAATGGATATCACTCATGTTCGAAATGTAATACTGATGGTATTTATATGGATCGCAGAGTGTGTTTTCCAGAAACTGATAGTTTTTATCATGTATCATTTCACATATTAAAACTTCTCTATTATGGACTAGTGCAGTCAACCCTCCAATATGGTTTAATATTTTGGGGTGCTTCACCTCACTTCGATAGAGCTTTTGTAGCTCAGAAGAAAGTCTTGAGAGCTATGTATAATGTGTCACCAATAACATCATCTAAACCACTTTTTAAAAAATCAGAGATTCTGACGTTACCTAGTCTTTTCATTTTTCACTTGATACTGTATGTCAAAGGAAATGAGGAAGCTTTTGACAAAAATGAAGATATACATTCATATAACACAAGACAAAAATCAAATATCCATCAACCATTCTCACGGCTACACATAGGTCAGCAGTCACCAAAGCACATTGGAATTAAGTGTTTCAATAAGATCAATAACATAATGATGAATGTAAACTCAAATAATGTAAGAAACTTCAAGCAGAAGGTCCACTCATTTCTAATTTCTAATGCATTTTATAGTGTTGAGGAATTCCTCAAATTTTAAAAAATCTGTGTGTACCTATTAATATGAATTATTGTCCTATATAATAATGTTCCTTTTGGATATAATTACTATTCGATAGCATGTCATTGTCCGTTGTTTGTCCATTTTGTTTTTTGTGAACTGACTAGTCTGATAGGATGGTGCATTGTACTATATCTTTGTCATATGTGTAATGTATAGTCCTCATAGATGAATAAAATTCTTAAATTCTTTACACTTAGAAATGACTCATATTTTAGATTAAAAGTAGATACAGACCATCATACTGGAACATCAGTACTAGAAATGATTCCTGGGCTCGATATGATCAAATACTTTCCTTTAGACTGCACTTGGTGTGTCTAGGAGTAAAGAAAATGATAGTTAATTTGTGGATGAATGGAAAGGTTCCTTGTAAATTATCTTTTCTTCAAATATCAAATATATCTGAATCACTGTTAAGTCATATTTCAAGTATTCCACATGAATTTAATCGCAAACCAAGGTCTTCAAATGAAGCTGAAAGGTGGAAGGCCACTGAGTTCCGGTTATTTTTATTTTATTTAGGTCCAGTGGTTTTGAAAACTGTATTGGATAATGACAAATATGTTAACTTTATAAGTCTTCACGTATCATTGTCATTTTTATCAAGTGCCAACTGGAACAAAAACATTGACTATTGCAAATCTTTGCTAAAATATTTTGTCGACACTTTCATTATTTTATATGGCTCCCAGAATGTGTCTCATAATGTCCATAACCTTTTACATATATGTGATGATGTAGTGAATTTCGGAACCTTGGATATGTTCAGCGCTTTTCCTTGCGAGAACTATTTGAAAAATTTGAATAAGAACTTGAGAAAAACTGATAAGCCTTCACAGCAAACACAACGTAGAATCACTGAAGAAGAAAAATCAAAACAACTCTCAAACACTGTGTTACATAAAAATTATCCTGAACCATCCAGTGAACATTTCTATGGTCCTCTTTTGTTTGCAAGCACATGTAAACAATTCAAAAAACTAAGTTTTGAACATTTTTCATTGAGCATTTTTGAACCTAATAGTTGTTGTGTCATCGAAAACTCAGTAGTTGTTATTATTAAGAATATAATAGTAGTCAATAATGAAATTATAATTGTTGTTCAGAAATTTTCGAATTTATGTGATTTTTGTGAATCTCCTTGCAAATCATCAGAATTAGGAATATATTTAGCTAGCGATTTAGGTCCTCTTGAATTAGTGAATTCTGATAATATTGTATATAAATGCATGAAATTGAATTTTAATGAAGACTATGTAAATTTTCCTTTGTTGCATTTGGTTTGACAATCCATTTACTCAGTTATATGAAAATACAGTGTGACCCACTTTTAGCTGACAGCATCCTTTATAAACTGAATCGAAAAAAAAATATTGACAAAGAGTATAAAAAATTCTGTGTTTAGCAAAAATTATTTCAATTTAAGATAATTTTTTCGCTTCAAAAGTTTTATTTTACTGAATTATTTTCGTGAAATTTCGAGTCCACACAGGATTCAGCAGCTTCCAACTGAATTAATTCAAAATTCAAAAAAACGCTAAAAATATTAAGCCTTCTAAGAACACATGGCTAATGACCATAGCAGTTGATGGCAACACATCACCAAACAAACAAAAATATTTCTGCATTTTTAACATGGAAAAGTGTTATAGGATGCCTTGTAAATCAGAATTATACTTTGAAAATTATTTCTTACATACTTTTTGATCCCAGGTAGGTAGGATATTTAGATCCATGGTAGGAAGAGGCTGAACTGGATTTTTGCTTCATACCCATATTTTGGCATGGGAAGACCCACATCTATAGTATGACAAACTAAATATATCACATTACTTCTCCTTGAAAAACACATTTGTAAGTAATAGAACCGAAAAAAAAATATTGACAAAGAGTATAAAAAATTCTGTGTTTAGCAAAAATTATTTAAATTTAAGATAATTTTTTCGCTTCAAAAGTTTTATTTCACTGAATTATTTTCGTGAAATTTTGAGTCCACACAGGATTCAGCAGCTTCCAACTGAATTAATTCAAAATTCAAAAAAACGCTAAAATATTAAGCCTTCTAAGAACACATGGCTAATGACCATAGCAGTTGATGGCAACACATCACCAAAAAAAAACAATATTTTTGCATTTTTAACATGAAAAAGTGTTATAGGATGCCTTGTAAATCAGAATTATACTTTGAAAATTATTTCTTACATACTTTTTGATCCCAGGTAGGTAGGTAGGTACATGCTGTAATTTTTTTTCTCAGATCAGTGAAAATGTGGATTTTATAGATAAGAGTGCTCTGGTCTAGAGCAGTGAGTAACACTGTATAAACAACAATTCAAAATTTTCAAGTAGATGAATGATAAAAATAAATACCTCAATGAAAAGGTATTATTTGAATGATTTTTGAATTTGCTAAATGGCTTTTCAAAAATCTCAAATTATAACCATATTTCATTTCTATTTTTTCATCGAAACATGATAAATAAACAAGAGATTGGTATAATCTCATTTGTAATAATGAAAATTACTAGTATTCAAGAAATAAATGAGATTATCACCTACACGTCCTACACTATAGTGAATTAAGAAAAAAATTATATTATTTTATTTTCCATTCAAACCATACTGTTTTACTTTTATTGTATTATTTATCAATTTTTCATGAATGATCATATCATTCTGCAAATATTTTACTATAGGTGGTTAACTGTTAACCATGTCAACAAAATCGTGGACTGTGGTTAAATTTGAAGATGAGAACACAGTTGAAGCTGTTCCAACCACTTGGATTTTAGGCAGCTCTTGTTATTGGCCCCCTTATTCAAGAGATAAGCTGGTAGCTGCCATCAAAAATTTCGAGGCCCCGAATACCCATTGGCCTCTGCATAAGATGGAGGTTTTTCGCAATGCAACTTTTGGTATGTAGAAGTTCTACTATTCTGCATGATTATATTAAAAAAAAAAATTTATTCATCCTCATATTCTTTTACTTCTGAATATTTCTTTAAATATGAGTATTCAGTTTATATGCTCTATAACAAATTCACTTCTCACTACTTACAGGGGTCCATATCTGTTTTTGACATAAAAAATCTGGAAACCACTAATAATAATCTCAATTGTAATATGTCTATTATGTGACTATAGCTTGGTGTCAAAAATTAGTTCCTATGACATTTTATTCATTCCTAACCATCAACAGAACATTTTCCCACAATTAATATACTGCTTTCGACATTTTCGCAAATTTGGAAGTATTGAAATAGTTCATAGAGTATGAAATCATCACGGATATCAGAGAATTGACACTGCTGTACGATTTGGAAAATGTTCTCATACTCTGTTAAAAAATAAACGAATTGTTATAGAAAAAAACTTTGATGCCATTTTATAGATCACAAGTTATGTGATTCAAATTATGGGTATTTATTCAAGAAAACAAAGTTCAAGTTGAATTAATTCAGAAATTCCAGTACCATATTGTTTGCTGTTTGCTACTTGATTATGCCATATCTCTTATAACAGTTTTGGAGATTCCTGTAGTGAAAAGCGATTTTTTAGCATACAGGGTGGCAGAAGTTCATTGAAATATATGGTTCAGTACATAGTGGATATATAATATAATGTTAAATTATTTTCCAGATTCCTATTTGGAGGCAAGAAAAGAGTCCAATGTAGCAGAGTATGCCAGTGATTTGAATATTGACGAGGAAGCCTCTACTCGGAAGAATCGGCATAAACGAGCCAAAACGTTGTCATCATCTTCATATAGGTACATATTGTGTCCATGTTGAAGACTTTGAAATTTTCATTTGTTGGCCGATTTTTATGAACTTTTCTAGTTATGTAAAATTATTTAAAATGCTCATTCAAGTGAGTAATTACATTTTTAACAACTACGACAATAATTATTATCGAATTTAAGAGAATCTTTCGAAAGTAGTAGTATTTTGTAGTACTTACTCTGTTGAAGTAGGTAAGCAAACCATATCGAGGACCAATGGATTACCGTAAATACAAATTTTTATTTCTACACATAAAAAAGATACATAGATAAAAATATCACAGGCAAAGTTGATAGTTATACACAAGACAAGACAGTAGTAACTAATCGAGAAACATATATTACAATTATACTGTCCAGATAAGGCGTTTTACGCGCAAGCGCACTCGCGCGTAATCGAGGTACTAGAGTAATATACATTCCGTCCAGATTATATCGAGCGTAGCGTGGCTCGTGCGTAAAACGATTGCAATAGCCGGCCATACACGGAAACATTTTCCTACGAGGTTGGAACGTGACGCGCCAATCCTGCCCGAAAGAGCGCTCGTGTGTGTGGTGCAACGCGCCATTCCACGAGCCGTTCAGTCGTGCGGCGGTTGTGTTGACACGTAAAACCACTTGCTTGGTGTTTGCAATTCTTTATCGTTTGTGGCGTCTGGTGCGCTTGGACTGATACAAAAAATGACGGATACGAGGTAAGTAAAATACATGGATGTATTATTTTTGCTCAAAGTTTCTAAACCTAGTAGAATCATGCTGATACTTATTTTTTCGTACAATATCGAAACATACATTTGATGATTTGATGAATTACACAACTGTGCCTTTTTGTTTCCCATTTATATCCCTAGAAAATTCATCAAAATTTTTGTTACAGGTACTTTTCGAAAGATTTCATGACAGAATTCTTAAGAGTATATATAGGGAACATACATCTTTATGGAAAATCAAGTCTAAAGCGTACATGAATAAGAATTTGAAGAATGTAGGAATAACACAATTGATTAAAGTGTGCAAGCAATTCCAAATAATGGAGGCGGATAAGAACTTCGTTATGAAAAAAATTCAATCAATTCGTGGATCATTCAGGAAGGAGTTGAAAAAAATTAAAGATTCGCAAAGAAGTGGGGCATCAGCAGATGACATTTACCAACCAACATTATGGTACTTTGAGTTATTACAGTTTACAATTGATCAAAAAACAGCTACAGACAGTATTTCGAATATGGAGAGTTCAACCAGCGGAGTTGGTGATTCTTGTGAAGAATGGCAAGACCAGCAAAGCAATAATGCAGCTCAGATTGAAGTAGAAAACTCAAGTCTTGAAGAGGAAGGGGAAAGTTCCCAAAATGAAGTGGACGTCACTGAGGTAAGAACAAATATATATTCCTATTACATCAATCATATCAAGAATTTCCACCTAAGCTTTTCCTTTTCTGAGCATTTCTTCTTGCCAGCTAACCTTTCCTTCACCCATGAAATATTCTACGTAGCTTTGTCTATTTTCTTTTGCTTTCTTATTACTGATGTTCCTTCCAGATGTCGATTGCAATCCAACAAGGCTAGAGCCATTTCCTCGCCATTCTGCTTCAATTATATTATTGTGACAATCTACCTCTTCTGTATCAAATGAGGTGTTTGTGATATATGATGGACTATGTCTTGTTAGAAAATTATGCAGCACACAGATAGCGCAAATGACATAGTTAATTTTTTGAGGTTCAATGTTGATACTTGTCGACAGAACGAGCAGGTGGAATAATCCTTATATGTTTTCCGTCAAAAGCTCCTCCACAATTTATTATTTGCCACCGTTCTTTGAACTCTGCAGCAATGGATTGCCACTCTTCCTTGGTTTTTGGAAACTATAAACAAAAAATCATACATAGTAAAATTCTCACTAAAATATTTCTTTCACAGGCATTTCAACCACCGGATACTGTCCCATCAAAGAGATTGAAGGAAAATAAATGTATTTCCAATAATGAATCAACTGCCAACTTCATGAAAGCCTGCACTGAGGCTCTTTCGATCAAAAGTTCAATTACTGAAGAATTTCAAGCCGTTGGAATGAATGTTTCAGCGAAATTACAAAAAATGAGATCATCACAACAGGTGTATGCTGAATATTTAATTCAAAAAGTACTAACGTGGGGAGCATTGAATAAACTGACAGAAAATACTGATTTAATAAACAATATTCCATTTGCATGCAGTCCTTCTACAACTCAAGAACCTACAATTATTCAGGAATATAACGTGATGCCCCCACCAAACACTGCTAGTACCAGTTCATCTACAGCTGCGAACTTTTTTGGAAACTTTTCAACTTTCACCAATATATGATATTGATTCAACCAATAATTTTTTAGTTCATTACGTTACTTGTGTTATAATATTTTGTTGATGTATATGATGTATATGAAATGACATCACATCTAAATAATATCAATAAATGAAGGAAACCTACCTGCATATATGAGTGTTTCAATGTATGATATATCACTTCGCAAGTTTCTGGAATGATATAACCCAATGCTTGAGCTGAAATGCCAGTTGAAAATTTTAAATCTTCGTAAGTTCTTCCTGTTGCTAAAAATCTTAAAGTGGCCATCAACCTTTCTTCTGGAGGTATTGAATTTCTCATCACAGTATCTTTTTTGGTTAAATGAGGTCGCAACATTTTTTGTAGGACATCAAATGTTTCAATATTCATTCTCAAATAGTTTTTGAAATCCTCTGGATAATTCTCTCTCAGTTCTTTTAGGAGACTAACGTGACTATATTTATGTTTTTCAGGTAACCAAGTCTTTGTCCAATCCCGTCTCTTACGTCTTTTTTTTTTCAACCAAGCTTGAGTAAACATAAACCATAGAACATGCAAGTACAGTTTTTTGTTTTTTGTTATTCCACATATTCCAGACTTGTAGTTTATGTATACGTTTTCACACTGAAAACTCCCGCTCCCCAGGGAAATTTTAGAATTCCTAAAATCCTACACGCCACACTATCCCGCGCGAAAACTGACGTTTTTCTTCCACTAACTTAAATACTTTTCCTTTCACATCCGTACCTGCGCGATTGGTGCGCTATGAATCACTTTAGGTTAGTGGCCAAATCCTCTACGTTCCAATCTCACGAGCTTGCCCGCATACTTTCCTGTCACTCCAATCCCGAGGGAAACTGTCTTGGTGTATGGGCACCTAATGCGCAGGACTCTCGACTCGCACGTTTTACGCGCAAGCGCCGCGCGAGTCGAGATACACGGGCACAACGTACTGCGTCCCGTACTTCACGCGTGTCCGTTGCGAGTGGACGTATTTAAAAAAATGGAACGTGATAAGTTCGACACGGAACTTTTAATGGATGAAGTTGAAAAAAGAGTACCCATATGGGATATGGAATCATCAGACTATTCCAATAAAGGCATAAAACGTAGGAAATTGAAAGAATTTGTCGAGATGTTTTGTGAAGCTGGCGATTCCGAAGAAAAGAAAAAAGCTTTGGGTAAGTAAATAATACTTTATTGAATAATATTATTCCAGACTACATTATAGGTACTGTATAAATTGTACGACCTAGTACTTAGCGTAGACTTATCGATATACAGTGTGTTAATAATAATAATAATAATAATAATAATAATGTTTTATTGACACAAAAACAATAGTTGATAAGTAAATAGTTATGTACATAGCTTTCGTTAGACACTGTAAATAGTATACCTATCCTACCTAAACTACCTTTTTATTGATGTTTATGTTCATTCAATTGTGTGCCGTGTGGTCGGGTGTGGGCTATTACAACTACAACACCAGTAAGTAGGTGCCTGATATACAAGTAGGTACTTAATTAGTCGGTTGTAAAATAAATATGGCAACTATATCATTTTATCTTGCCAAAGGAGTTTGCCTTCTTCAGCAAAATAATTAGCGAATCTGTCTCTTGTATTCAGTGATCTCGCATTAGGCCTCACATCCTGAGTGTTCATATGAATGAGAGATGTTTCGTAGAGAGTGTGGTCGAACCTATAGCCATCCTTCACCCTAACATAATTATGAAGAACACAGCAAGTTTTAATAATATTTTCTGCAAACTCTATGTCTACATTTAACGGTCTATGGAATATTCTCCATTTATTTACTAAGATGCCAAAGCAACACTCAATGTAACGCCGGGCTCTGGATAAGCGATAGTTGAAAATTCTTTTTTTGGTTGTTAAAGATTTACCGCAATAAGGGCGCATTTTATATGTTCAGACAGCGACTAAACGCCTCATCTCCTACTATAATATGGGGTAAGGGAGTTTTATCTGTTTGCGATATTGGTTTTGGGTCTGGAATATCTAAACTTTTCTCGACAAGTTTTTTATACAGGGTGAGTCATGACTAACCAGCCATAGCCCAATGGCGGATAGAGGAGGTCAAGGTGAGTTGATATATATATAATAAAATATTTTTTGCCAATTCTTCACAGAAATACAGGGCATTATTTGAATTCGGGGCAAGAATTCAATGAACGATATTTCAGGAACGTCTCGATGTTATCGGCTAAAATTCACTAGCAACTTACCTCTAATGACACTCCACAAGATGACGTAATATGAATGAAAAATTCCAGGTCCGGACTTGGAAAACTCCTTTTCTCTTTAGATGTCAAAATTTTGACCTTCTGGATCGGATTTTTCAAAAACTTCCATCAGAATCAGAAAGATCAGGAAAAATACTACAAGTATGGCATTTCAATTCGTACGGCACACTTCGATCGTTTTGATAAAAAAATATCTAACAAAATACCGATGAATTTTTCTTCGATTTCGTCCGGGCATATCACTCTCTACATTCGACTAAAAGTAATTAAATCAAATTTTTCCCTGGAAAGATTCAACAGAACACTTGAGAAAAGGTATACTGATGTTCCTTCCAGATGTCGATTGCAATCCAACAAGGCTAGAGCCATTTCCTCGCCATTCTGCTTCAATTATATTATTGTGACAATCTACCTCTTCTGTATCAAATGAGGTGTTTGTGATATATGATGGACTATGTCTTGTTAGAAAATTATGCAGCACACAGATAGCGCAAATGACATAGTTAATTTTTTGAGGTTCAATGTTGATACTTGTCGACAGAACGAGCAGGTGGAATAATCCTTATATGTTTTCCGTCAAAAGCTCCTCCACAATTTATTATTTGCCACCGTTCTTTGAACTCTGCAGCAATGGATTGCCACTCTTCCTTGGTTTTTGGAAACTATAAACAAAAAATCATACATAGTAAAATTCTCACTAAAATATTTCTTTCACAGGCATTTCAACCACCGGATACTGTCCCATCAAAGAGATTGAAGAAAAATAAATGTATTTCTAATAATGAATCAACTGCCAACTTCATGAAAGCCTGCACTGAGGCTCTTTCGATCAAAAGTTCAATTACTGAAGAATTTCAAGCCGTTGGAATGAATGTTTCAGCGAAATTACAAAAAATGAGATCATCACAACAGGTGTATGCTGAATATTTAATTCAAAAAGTACTAACGTGGGGAGCATTGAATAAACTGACAGAAAATACTGATTTAATAAACAATATTCCATTTGCATGCAGTCCTTCTACAACTCAAGAACCTACAATTATTCAGGAATATAACGTGATGCCCCCACCAAACACTGCTAGTACCAGTTCATCTACAGCTGCGAACTTTTTTGGAAACTTTTCAACTTTCACCAATATATGATATTGATTCAACCAATAATTTTTTAGTTCATTACGTTACTTGTGTTATAATATTTTGTTGATGTATATGATGTATATGAAATGACATCACATCTAAATAATATCAATAAATGAAGGAAACCTACCTGCATATATGAGTGTTTCAATGTATGATATATCACTTCGCAAGTTTCTGGAATGATATAACCCAATGCTTGAGCTGAAATGCCAGTTGAAAATTTTAAATCTTCGTAAGTTCTTCCTGTTGCTAAAAATCTTAAAGTGGCCATCAACCTTTCTTCTGGAGGTATTGAATTTCTCATCACAGTATCTTTTTTGGTTAAATGAGGTCGCAACATTTTTTGTAGGACATCAAATGTTTCAATATTCATTCTCAAATAGTTTTTGAAATCCTCTGGATAATTCTCTCTCAGTTCTTTTAGGAGACTAACGTGACTATATTTATGTTTTTCAGGTAACCAAGTCTTTGTCCAATCCCGTCTCTTACGTCTTTTTTTTTTCAACCAAGCTTGAGTAAACATAAACCATAGAACATGCAAGTACAGTTTTTTGTTTTTTGTTATTCCACATATTCCAGACTTGTAGTTTATGTATACGTTTTCACACTGAAAACTCCCGCTCCCCAGGGAAATTTTAGAATTCCTAAAATCCTACACGCCACACTATCCCGCGCGAAAACTGACGTTTTTCTTCCACTAACTTAAATACTTTTCCTTTCACATCCGTACCTGCGCGATTGGTGCGCTATGAATCACTTTAGGTTAGTGGCCAAATCCTCTACGTTCCAATCTCACGAGCTTGCCCGCATACTTTCCTGTCACTCCAATCCCGAGGGAAACTGTCTTGGTGTATGGGCACCTAATGCGCAGGACTCTCGACTCGCACGTTTTACGCGCAAGCGCCGCGCGAGTCGAGATACACGGGCACAACGTACTGCGTCCCGTACTTCACGCGTGTCCGTTGCGAGTGGACGTATTTAAAAAAATGGAACGTGATAAGTTCGACACGGAACTTTTAATCGATGAAGTTGAAAAAAGAGTACCCATATGGGATATGGAATCATCAGACTATTCCAATAAAGGCATAAAACGTAGGAAATTGAAAGAATTTGTCGAGATGTTTTGTGAAGCTGGCGATTCCGAAGAAAAGAAAAAAGCTTTGGGTAAGTAAATAATACTTTATTGAATAATATTATTCCAGACTACATTATAGGTACTGTATAAATTGTACGACCTAGTACTTAGCGTAGACTTATCGATATACAGTGTGTTAATAATAATAATAATAATAATAATGTTTTATTGACACAAAAACAATAGTTGATAAGTAAATAGGTATGTACATAGCTTTCGTTAGACACTGTAAATAGTATACCTATCCTACCTAAACTACCTTTTTATTGATGTTTATGTTCATTCAATTGTGTGCCGTGTGGTCGGGTGTGGGCTATTACAACTACAACACCAGTAAGTAGGTGCCTGATATACAAGTAGGTACTTAATTAGTCGGTTGTAAAATAAATATGGCAACTATATCATTTTATCTTGCCAAAGGAGTTTGCCTTCTTCAGCAAAATAATTAGCGAATCTGTCTCTTGTATTCAGTGATCTCGCATTAGGCCTCACATCCTGAGTGTTCATATGAATGAGAGATGTTTCGTAGAGAGTGTGGTCGAACCTATAGCCATCCTTCACCCTAACATAATTATGAAGAACACAGCAAGTTTTAATAATACAGGGTGTTACAGAACTATGGGATCAAACTTCTAGGGGTTATTCAGTGCAACAGTAGAAAACATTTGAGTATTGGAACCCATGTCCGGAAAAGTGTCACTACGGCACTACGGCCTAAGACGCGTTAAAATTCAGAAAGACTATGAATTGCCTAAATAGGATTTAATGCATTTATTTTGCCTTCTGTACATAATATCATCACAACAATTGTTCAAAATGTCTTCCTCCAACCTGAATACACCGATTTAAACGTCGCACATGATTTCGGCGGACTTGAATAAAAATTTGATCATTGTTTTGAATGATTTCAAATGCTGCTATAATTCGTCCAATTAAGTCTTGCTCTGTTTCTACTGGAGTTTCGTAGACCAAAGACTTCACATGTCCCCACAGGAAAAAATCTAGCGGCGTTAAATCGGGTGACCTAGGAGGCCAAGAAACTGCTCCACCTCTGGCAATCCAACGGTGCCCAAACCGCTGAGCCAAATCCTCACGTACTTGTACAGCAAAGTGAGCCGGCGCTCCATCATGCTGAAACCACATTTGCTGTCGAACGTTTAGTGGAACATTTTCAAGAAGTTCTGGAAGAACTTCCTCCAAGAAACGCCGGTAAATAGGTCCTGTTAACCGTTCCGGTAGAAGGTATGGCCCAATCAAATAATCATCAACAATGCCTGCCCATACGTTGACAGACCAACGTTGCTGATGTTTCCTAGGAAAAATTGCATGGGGATTTTCTTCGTCCCAAACATGGCTATTCCTACTATTAAAAATACCGTCTCTTGTGAAAGAGGCTTCATCGGTCCATAAAACATAGCATAAAAAATTTGGTTGTGCAGCGATTTGATGAAGAAGCCATTGACAAAATTGAACTCTAGGATGATAATCGGCTGCAGTCAATCCTTGAACTTTCTGAAAGTGGTAAGGATAAAGTTGTTGCTCGTGTAGCACCCGCCAGACGGAAGCGTTAGTCGAATTCATATCCATAGCAATGTGACGTGTGCTACTTGATGGTTCGTCGGCAACTCGCTGAAGGACCTCTTCTTCAAATTCGACCGTTCTTACGGTTCGAGCAACACCAGTATCATGCATGTTGGTTCTAAACATGCCTGTCTCGGAGAGCCGCCGATGAATAGCAATAAACTTTTTGTATCCCGGATGCTGTCGTTCGGGATAACGTTCTTGATACAACCGCGCTGCTGCTCGTGCATTGCAGCTTGTTACTCCGTATGCCAAATGCATATCCGCCAATTCTTGATTGGTAAAGTTTTCCATTAGCAACAATTAATTTTTGTTGAATTCTTGCAAACTTCACAAATACGATAGCACGACTGAAGCGATATGGAATGCAGCCACAAAAAACAACCTCTTTTATCGTTTTTAAAGATAACAACACACAAGCGCCGGTAAATTGTTTAAAATCATCAGCTAATTTTTAAACATTGACATTGACATTTTGAACAATTGTTGCGATGATATCATGTACAAAAGGCAAAAATTAAATGCATTAAATCCTATTTAGGCAATTCATCGTCTTTCTGAATTTTAACGCGTCTTAGGCCGTAGTGCCTTAGTGACACTTTTCCGGACATGGGTTCCAATACTCAAATGTTTTCTACTGTTGCACTGAATAACCCCTAGAAGTTTGATCCCATAGTTCTGTATTTTCTGCAAACTCTATGTCTACATTTAACGGTCTATGGAATATTCTCCATTTATTTACTAAGATGCCAAAGCAACACTCAATGTAACGCCGGGCTCTGGATAAGCGATAGTTGAAAATTCTTTTTTTGGTTGTTAAAGATTTACCGCAATAAGGGCGCATTTTATATGTTCAGACAGCGACTAAACGCCTCATCTCCTACTATAATATGGGGTAAGGGAGTTTTATCTGTTTGCGATATTGGTTTTGGGTCTGGAATATCTAAACTTTTCTCGACAAGTTTTTTATACAGGGTGAGTCATGACTAACCAGCCATAGCCCAATGGCGGATAGAGGAGGTCAAGGTGAGTTGATATATATATAATAAAATATTTTTTGCCAATTCTTCACAGAAATACAGGGCATTATTTGAATTCGGGGCAAGAATTCAATGAACGATATTTCAGGAACGTCTCGATGTTATCGGCTAAAATTCACTAGCAACTTACCTCTAATGACACTCCACAAGATGACGTAATATGAATGAAAAATTCCAGGTCCGGACTTGGAAAACTCCTTTTCTCTTTAGATGTCAAAATTTTGACCTTCTGGATCGGATTTTTCAAAAACTTCCATCAGAATCAGAAAGATCAGGAAAAATACTACAAGTATGGCATTTCAATTCGTACGGCACACTTCGATCGTTTTGATAAAAAAATATCTAACAAAATACCGATGAATTTTTCTTCGATTTCGTCCGGGCATATCACTCTCTACATTCGACTAAAAGTAATTAAATCAAATTTTTCCCTGGAAAGATTCAACAGAACACTTGAGAAAAGGTATAATTCAATAAAAAATTCAGGACCGGACTTGATTTTGGAAAATAACAATCATAATTTTCGAAAAAAATTTGTCAGAATCTTAATATTAATCAAGATTCTCAAAATATCCTCCTCCAATTTCTAAACATTTTCTGCATCTCTTCGGGAGACCCCTTATGGCTTTTCCAATAATTTGCCTATTATTTCTGATTATATCTGCAGCTGTACCTATCCTCTCCCTCAGTTCGTCTCTGGTGTTGACTTCAGTCTGATAGACCAATTGTTTCATATGCCCCAAAAGAAAATAGTCCAAAACTGTGAGATCAGGGGACCTAGGAGGCCAAGAATGAGGGCCGTCACGACCTATCCAGCGGTTAGGAAAATGGGTGTCCAGATATTCTCTCACTTGTACTGAGAAATGTGGAGGTGCCCCATCCTGTTGAAAGTAAAGACCTCTTTCATTCACATTTTGCGCCGCCAACAAATTGGGCAGAACGTTCTGAAGAAAATTCAGATATAAGTCCCCTGTCAGTCGTGCCTCGAAAAAATAAGGCCCTATCAAAACGTCATCCACCACACCACACCATACATTCAGGGAAAACTTGTGCTGTGAATTCTTTTGAACAATGGCATGAGGATTTTCATGTGCCCATATGTGGGAATTCCTCAAATTGGTTATACCATCGCGCGTAAACTGATTCGTCCGTAAATAAAATTCTCGAAACTGTTCTCGGATGATTCAAAATCTTGGTTAATATTAAGATCCAGAGATCCAGATAAATATTTTTCGGAAATTATAATTGTTATTTTCCAAAATCAAGTCCGGTCCTGGATTTTTTATTGAATTAAACCTTTTCTCAAGTCTGCTGTTGAATCATTCCAGGAAAAAATTTGATTTAATTACTTTCAGTCGAATTTAGAGAATGATGTGGCCGGACGAAATCGAAGAAAAATTCATCGGTATTTTGTTTGACATTTTTTTACCAAAACGATCGAAGTGTGCCGTACGAATTGAGAAGCCATACTTGTAGTATTTTTCCTGATCTTTCTGATTCTGATGAAAGTTTCCGAAAAATCCGATCCAGAAGGTCAAAATTTTGACATCTAGAGAGAAAATGAGTTTTTCAAGTCCGGATCTGGAATTTTTTATTCATAGTACGTCATCTTGTGGAGTGTCAGTAGAGGTAAGTTGCTAGTGAATTTCAGCCGATAACATCGAGACGTTCCTGAAATATCGTTCATTGAAGTTTTGTCCCGAATTCAAATAATGCCCTGTATTTCTGTAAAGGATAGGCAAAAAATATTTGTTCACATATAAATCAACTCACCTTGACCTCCGCTATCCGCCATTAGGCTATGGCTGGTTAGTCATGACTCACCCTGTATAACGCAGAGTTTTTGAAAATTGTGGAGTCGTTACTTTTTCCATATGCGCCGATATCTACTGAAATAAAACAATAATTTGCGTCGCATACAGCCAATAAAACTGTTGAAATATAATTAATATAGTTATAAAAAAGAGACCCAGAATCATTAGGTTTTATAATACGGATATGCTTGCCATCAATGACGCCAATACAATTTGTAAAATTTGTGTATTTTTGAAATTGTTTAGAAATCTCTTACAATTCGGCCTTCGTACTATTTCGATAACTGTAGATTTTCCCAATCTGTAGGCATAATGCAGGTCCGCAAAATAACATCCTGTAGCCAAATATCTGAGAAGAAATACGTTTTGTTAATTTACTTTTTAGTAGCTTTTGCCAGAGGCTTTATTAAATTAGATAAAAGGTTGCTTATGTGCTTAAGTTTCATCCGAATCTGTTCAGCCATTTCTATATTTTCTGATTACAGGTATTTTATTGCAAAAGAAGTGGAAAGAGTTGAGTGATGGATTTGTAAGAGAAATTAAGAGGAAGAAAACCACTCCGTCAGGATCAGGAGCCTCCGGCAAAACCAAATATATTTATTTTGAACGTCTGAAGTTCCTCGAACGATCGATACACAAAAAAACAACTGACAGCAATATCAATACCACGTCTGCTACAGCGGAAGAACAGGACTTTTCTGGCGATGGAGAAGATGTAATGAGACCTCCAGTTATTCAGACAAAAAAAAGAAGAAACTAAATGCGGCCGACGAAGAATTTCTCGCCATCATAAAAACAAATTTAGCATCTAAACGCCAAGCAGAAACATCAAACCGAATGGAATCTGATGATGACAAACTATTTTGTTTATCATTACACAAAGAGCTTCTCAAAGTACCTGAGGAAAACAGACTTCAAACAAAAATTGAATTAATGAAAGTACAGGGTGATTCACCATAAATGTCCCCCCCTCTAGCTCACTTATTTTTGAACCGTTTTGAAAATTTGAAAGATAATCTAAAATGATTCTTCTGAAATTTTTTTCCCGCTGCATCAGAAAATACAGGGTGCTCGGAACAAGCGATCTACAGAGTACTTATTGATTTTTTCAAATGGAACACCCTGTATTTTGTTGTATTTTTAGATTCTTCCTGAAGAGCTGATTTCATCAATGTAACACACTTGGTTAGCGGGAATGATTACAGAGATATAGGGTGTTCAAAATCGAGATTTTTCAACTTTATGATTTTTTTGTGCCGAAACTATTCATTATTGGTCAAAACGGCTTCTATGTTCCCATTCCAACTTTCGATTTACTATCTAGTGAAATTTAATTGGAACATTTACTGGGTGGTTCAAGATTCAGAATTCTGGTCACCCTGTATCTGTTCCAATTATTAAATGTCAGTAGATAGTAAATAAAAAGTTAAGATACGGACATGAAAACCGCGTGACCGATAATGAATAGTTTCGTCACAAAAAAAAAATCCTAAAGTTAAAAATCTCGATTTTGAACACCCTATATCTCTGTAATCAGTCCCGCTAGACCCCAAGTGTGATACATTGATCAAATCAGCTCTTCAGGGAGAATCTAAAAATACAATGAAAAATAGGGTGTTCCATTTAAAAAAATCAAATAGTACCCTGTAGATCGTTTGTTCCGAGCACCCTGTATTTTCTGATCTAGCGGAAAAAAACTTTATCGAAAATCATTCAAGATGATATTTAAAATTTTAAAATCGGTTCAAAAATAACTGAGCTAGAGGGGGAAACATTTATGGTGAATCACCCTGTACTTCAAGATCAGCAAGCCAATTTTAGTCATAAAACTTCAACTGTTCGTCCTGTATATCAAAGTGGAATGACACAACATGGACAGAGGGATTATTTTGAAGAAACAGGATATAACACAATAGATCCTTCAACATCTTCGTTTTCTCCCGCGACTTTTTTGGCCAATCGAGGCTATTCCACTTTGCAACGTAATACTCCTTCAACGGCTGCTTACAATAACCCACCAATCCCATCACCAGCTTCTTCACAAGATTCACAAGAATCAGAATCAATGGAACTATACAGTGACGTATAAAAGTTTAAAGATTTATGGTTTAATGGTTCCTAATTTTTTTTTTTTTTTGAAATTCTTCAATTTTGTTCGATTCATTGTTAGTTTGAAAGTACAAATTTGATAAAGGTGTTACATTAACAATAAAAAATATTACCTCAAAGTAATCACTAGTTTTTCTTCTGCAGAGACAGTATCTTGTATCACATAATTTTGACATGGTTTCAAATCCTCTTGAATAATTTCTAGTAATTCATCGAACGATGATACTGACATCCGGAAGTAGTTGAAAATTTTCTCACCATGTTCTCTGAGCTTTGGATATAATGTTATGAACATACTATGCGTCATTCTATCGCGTAGAATTGGGTGGATGAAATCGGCGACATTCTCTTCGTTTACGACGTTTCCATCGGCGATATGCAAGCCACACCACAACCGCCGTTTCTGAGTCCATGACTGCAACTGGCTGAATCCGTCCCAGCGTAGATACGCGCATAAATCGCGATATCTGGACGCAATAAAAATTGAAACGCGCGAGTGCGCTCGCGCGTAAAACGCCTTATCTGAACAGGCTCTAAAGTTATGAACATGGTCATGAAAGATACCTAATAATATTGAATCATTTTTCCTCAAAGATGTTATAAATACTTCAGATCAATATGTCAATGAGTCCAAAGGTCATAGTTATATAAGCAGATTATTGAATTACTGATTGTATTTCCAGATCCACAGAATATATCGCAGATTGGCACGAAGTCCACCGATGTCAGCAATTCGTTTAATATACTAACTTCTGATCAAGATCGTTTGATTATTCCGTTTGGTATGTTCCAAAATATCAAAATACAATCTTCTATGACCAACAAGTTCTGTATTTTTCACAGATTCAGTTCAAGATTCAATTGAGACAAATCCTTTCTGTGGTGTTGCTGTTGTTCATTGCGAAGAAATTCAAGAGTATATTTTTGAGTTGCCTGAGATTCAACAAACATCAATATTGGATGCAGTAACATCCGATATACAAGTTATCGAAAACACAGAATATTCTGTAATCAATGAGAGCAGGTTGTTACAGAATGTTCTTGAGAAAGAAAATATTGAAGTATTAGCCACTGATGAAAGAGCAGATACAAACTCATTGACTTCGGATAAGTATGTTCCAGAGGACGAAGAAATCAGCTCAACAAGTGACAATAATCTAGACGAAAGTCTTGACGAATGTATTGAAGTGAATCCTTCAGGAATACTTCCAGTAGCATCAACATCGAGTACAACTTTGGTACCTGAAGTTCTGAAAAGAACTCGGAAGAGACTAGCAGACGCCAATACATAAAAAAGGAATGATCGAAAAATTGAAAGAGTTTCTGGTAAGAGTTATCAAACCAGGAAAAATATCGTTATGCCAGAGAAAAAACCACGATATATTGATTGTTCAAAGTGCCGATTCAAATGTTCTGATAAAGTACCAATGGAGAGACAGCAAATCTTGCATCAAGAATATTGGGGACTTGCTGACAATGATCGTCAAAAAGCACTCTTATGTTTATTGGTTACAGAAAACAGCGTTTGCCGTCGTAAAAAACGAAACCCAGAGAGCCAAGTCACGAAGACTAAATCACGCGTATATTCACTACATGATGAAGAGGGTAAAAGTGAACGAGTGTGCTTGAAATTTTTTTGCGCTACATTTAGCATAAGTTCCCAAGTCAATGACTTAGCTTTAAAAAAACGTTGTGTTAATGGTGCCTATATAGGTACCGATGGACGAAAAGGAAAAACTCCTGCTGAAATTACACCTATTGTTTCACAAAATCATGTCAAAGATCATATAAATAGTTTTCCTCGTTTGGAAGCCCACTACAGCCGACGCGATACAAAGAAATTTTATTTGGCTGCTGATTTGAATATTTCTGTTATGTATCGTTCTTATGTTGAGACTTATTGTACAGAGGAGAAAATATCACCGGTTTCCATTAGTGTTTACAGAAAAATATTCAATAGTTATGAACCACAACTTTCGTTCCATGTCCCTAAGAAGGATCAATGTTCCTCATGCAATCTGTATTTTAGCTCTAATGACAAAACTAATTTGGAAGAAAGCTGGCAACAACACAAAGAGAGAGAAAATGAAGCAATTGAAATTAAAAATGCGGATAAAAAACAGCGTTAGAAAACTGAAGATTTCGGGCTGTTTCTTTCGATCTGGAAGCTATTCTATCTGTTCCATTTTCCGCTGATTGTCAAATTTATTACAAGCGGAAACTTTCTGTTTTTAATTTTACAATATACGATTCCTTTGATCAGAGTGGCCACTGTTTCCTATGGGATGAGACTCACGGCTCCAAAGGAGCTTCAGAAATCGGCACATGCCTGTTAAATTATAATAAACCTACCCCAGAATGTCTCCCATGTGTCTAGTTTTTCAGATACTTGCGGAGGGCAGAACCGCAACCTATTTGTAGCTGCTGCAATGTTGTACGCTGTCAGTAAAATTGAACACTTACAAATTGTGGATCTAAAATTTATGGAATCTGGCCATTTCTACCTTGAGGCAGATTCAATTCATGCTACTATTGAAAGAGCCCGTGAACACCGAAAAATTTTCACAACCGAAGAATGGGGAGTATTAATTGAGATGGCAAGAAAAAAACCCCGTCCCTATCAGGTCCATAAGCTTTGCTTTTCTGATTTCTATGACCTACAGGCCCTGGCGTCAGTTGTGATGCAAAATACTGAACTGAATACCTCAAAGGAACAAGTTAAATGGCTCCACATTAAATGGCTGAGATTGGAAGAATCTAAACCATTTATCATTCAATATAAATATTCATTGATCGATAATGAATTCTTACAATTCGATGTTTTGCATACCAGAAAAAGTAAATAATTTCCCGTGCTGAAAACCCTGGCAAAAAAATATGGCAATCGATTATCAATTTCAGAGGCGAAAAAGGAGGATTTGATTTCTTTACTTCGGAAGCAAATTATTCCCGAGGCTTACACAAGCTATTTTAACGCTTCACCAAGCTCAAAGAAAGCTGAAGATCTTGTACCATACACTACACTGGAAGACGAGGAGTCTGAAGAAACTTAATAATTTCGATTTTTCTCTGGATCTAATTTTGTATCAGTTTTTTTCTTCCATAAACACTCGAATTGTGTATGATTATTGATTTGAATCATTACGTTGTAATGTAGTACGTTCTCTTTCTTCAGTTAAACACTCGAAATGTGCGTGTAATTACAATTTTGTCACTGCCCTTGTGCAGTTTGTACTTGAATGTTTTTTTTTCTATAAAAGCTTGAAATATTTATAATTACATTACGCTTCTTTGTAGTATGTAAATGGTTTTTTTTTCTTAATTAAAAACGTTGAAACCTTGTATAGTTGCAGTTCTTTTATGGCCCATTTGTAGTATGTCCTCTATAGAAAATTCATGATATTGTATGCCCATACAACTTCACATTTTATACCGATTTTTATTAAAAATTTCAATGATAATCACCAGTTATGCAATGCAATTCTAATTACAAACATTCAAACTTAACTAAAAAATGTCAGTTCTTTTGTGAAAATATTACGAACTCTACTTGAATGCAAATCAAAATCTATTATTCGTGATTCTGGAGAATAAGCAGAATTGGACATACAATATCTGCGCTTTAAACCATCGATATATGGACTTTGGGTGAATCTATGTCCTTTCAATGACCACGAATTTAATGGATTGCTGACATATTAAATGGAAATTATTTATTTAGGTCCATTGGAAATCCTCGGCATTTGTACATATGTATTACTGGACATTTATAGACTTACCTGACAGACGCATGCTTTAAAACATCCACTGGAGATACATCAGAAGAACATGTGCTCATTTCGGACCGTCATGGACCCAACCAGTCATCTACTGGACATTTTTTGGTGGATCTCTACTGGACATTTATGGACGTAACTTGGATGTCCATAAGATGTATGTGTTCATCCATTGGAAATTCATAAAATGTACATGTGCTTCTTCCGGACATTCATGGACGTATTCAAGTTCTTTGTTGTACGTCCATTGGACATACATAAGACGAACATATGCTTATTCCGGACATTTATGGACGTATTTTAGATCTATGTTGTACGTCCATCGGACGTCCAAGTCGGACTTACATAGGATGTTATATCCATTGTGTATCTGGACATTTGCTGGACCTTTACTGGACATTTATGGACGTAACTGGACGTCCATTGGATGTCCCTCAGATATTTTCTGTACATTCATTGGACGTACATAAAAGGTACATATGCTCATTCCGGACATTTATGGGTGTATTTAAGGTCTTTGTTGTACGTCTATTGGACATCCACATCGGACGTACATAGGATGTTATATCCAGTGTATCTGGACATTGGGTGGACCTTTACTGGACATTTATGGACGTAACTGGACGTCCGTTGGACGTCCATAAGATCCATGCTGTACATCCACTGGACATACATTAGACGTACAAGTGCTATGTAGGGTGCAGTCTGAATCATCTGTTTCTTCAGCGTCACACAGGGTGTGGGAAATTTCAATATCACTTTGAGATTACGGTTTTTGTTTTCAATCATGGTTAAGTATATATAATACAGGGTGTCCATATATAGATTTGATTCTTTTTATATTTTGGAGAATTTTCTTCAGAGACTTAACTTGCCACACCGCATTCCATACTACCTTTGGGGTTCACTTTGTACTTTGACTTTGATTTGAACTTTAGAATTTTTTCAAAATGGCGATAGGGTTCAAGGTTAGTCATTCATTATGCCATGAGCTTGACTATGAACTCAAAATTAGAGGGGTAGTTAGTAATAAAAAAACAAAATGAGAAGAGAAAAATTATGACTAGATTACTAGAAAAGGAACGGGTTGAACAAGGAAAAATGATCGACTCAAGTACATACGAATCTGAAAAAAATCTTATAGAATCAACAATGTTATCAATATCAGCCTTGGTAAATGAGTTTGAGGGGAACAGTACTGATTCTACATTTGCAAGGGTTAAATCTAGGTTAGCTCATGTTAGCGCCAGAATAAAAAGGATGATGTTGCCAGTAGGTACTCCCGGACAGATAGAAGCGGCAAAGCTTTTCAAAAATGAGACGTACGCAACCTGTTTAGTACTTCAAGACGATCTTGTTGAGAAAGCTAAGTGTCAAGATGCCCTTTTGGCAGATCCACCTTTAGCTATGAATAGTACAATGAACCCAGTGATAAACATCCCTGCCCCAGTTGTTTCATTCCCTTCTAGGTCGAAACCTTTGGGGGAATGGGGAGTTAAGTTCAATGGAGAATCTCGAAATGTTTACTCTTTTATCGAACGTGTGACTGAACTTGCTAAATCTCGAAATGTCAGTGACCAAGAACTCTATACATCAGCTGTTGAGTTATTCGTAGGCGATGCATTCATTTGGTTCAGGAGCATTCAATCCAAGGTCAGAGACTGGGATACTTTGATATCACAATTAAAACATGATTTTCTTCCCCCTGACATGGATGAGGACCTCTGGAAACAAATCAAAGCACACCGACAAAAGAAAAATGAACGTGTGACGATTTTCATAGCGCATATGGAAAACTTATTTAGTAGGTTGTCCCGACCTCCTGTAGAGGCTACTAAAGTTAAGCATATGAGACAAAACTTACTGCCTGATTATACGAGTCACTTAGCACTTTCAGATATTGATACAGTATCTCGACTGCAGGAATTAGCTAAAAAATTAGAGGATGCCAATATCATTAAATTCAAGAGTTTTTCACATGGGAGAAATATAGAGCAGGTTAGTGAAGTAGCTGCTAATTCGAAGTATAGTTAACATTTTTCAAAATCCAGGAATAAACGTCCCCTCGGTAATAAAAAGTCAAGGTCATTTTCTAAAAATGAATCAGTCGAGCCTGTCCAACAAGTTTCGGATGTTTTGGGTGATACTTCCAGGGAGGCATCTACTAGCAGGATTGTTTCATATTGGAATTGCGGTGAGAAAAACCATGTTTTCAGTACCAGTTTAATAAAACGAAAAAAATTTTGTTCTCGTTGTAGCACGCCTAATGTCAAAACGAAAGATTGTTCAAACTGTTCAAAAAACGATTAGAGAGGATGAGGTATGGCCGCCGAATCCATTCTGTTGAAACGGCCAATTCAGTAGGGTCAATTCCAGATTCACAAGTTCCAGGTATATTCTCCCAAAAATCAGTTTTTGAACAGGAACCTGAACAAATAGCACCCTTATTCATTGACCTTACATTTTAATCAATATATTCGATGTCGAAGTACCGGTGTTATTTGATTCAGGGGCCACCACTTCAATAGTCGGCCGCGATGGAATTAAATATTTAGACAAATTTAAATTTAAGGTCACTCCCTCTTTCTCTCAAAATGTTTGTACGGCTGACGGAGTTGATCAACCATAGTTAGAGGCGTCGTAGACTTACCTATCTGTTTCGATAATTCATGTGAAATACTTAGAGACTTAGTAGTTCCTTCCCTGAAACATTCATTTATTTTTGGTTCTGACTTTGCTAAGCAATTCCAACTTTTAGTTGATTTCAAGAATAATGAGTGGTCACTTCAAAGTAAACTCAATGATAACCAAATTTGTGTTATGACAAATAATCCTGAAACTGATAAGAAAGATTGTCAACTGTTATCCTTAGATAGTTTAGGTTCCGAAGGCAGAGCACGAGCACAATCGGTAGTCGATTCTCTCCAGGAAATCACCAACAAGAATTGTTTAGTTGGACAGATAAAATTGAAATGAGTATAGATACTGAGGACGCCAAACCCTTCAAGGAAAAACAATATCATGTATCTCCCTATATGCTCAAAATTTTGAATTCTGAACTGGATGATATGCTCAAACTGAAGATAGTGGAACCATCTAACAGTCCATGGTGTTCACCTGTTTCACTAGTCAAAAAACGTTGCGGAGAGTATCGGTTTTGCTTTGATGGGCGTTCCCTGGACCAGGTAACTAAACATGATTCCTATCCGCTCCATCAAATTGACCGTATCTTGAACATGCTGCGAAACGCAAAGTATATTTCATCGATTGATCTAAGGAAAGCGTTTTGGCAGATTCCGTTGGATGAGGCTTCCAAAGAAAAGACGGCGTTTAGCGTTGCTGGTCGTGGGCTGTTTCAGTTCTCCGTCGTACCCTTCGGTCTTTTTGATTCTGCGCAGGTTCAGCAACGATTGGTGGATAAGTTGTTTGGTCCTAAATATGAGCCTAATATCTTCGCGTACCTTGACGATATTATCATAACTAGCTCTTCCTTTGAAGAACATCTACGGCTGCTTTCAGAAGTAAAATCAATTCAGAAAGAGGCGAACCTCACTATAAATTTGAGGAAGTGTGAATTCTTCAAATCCTCGTTGAAGTTTCTAGGTTTCATAGTCAGTTCAGAGGGACTTCACACTGATCCCGATAAGGTTTTTGTGATGTTGAATCATCCCAGACCAACTACAACTAGAGAGGTGAAGCGCTTTATAGGTATGTGCTCATGGTATCGTCGTTTCGTTAGCAACTTCTCAACTCTCATGTCCCCTCTACATGATCTGTTCAAAGGAAAAAAGAAGAAAAAACAAGCCATCAGTTGGACGCCAGAGGCCGCAACAGCATTTGTTAAGATAAAGAAGGCATTAGTATCCACCCCAATTCCGTCTCAGCCTGACTCCACTAAAACATTTATCATCCAGAGCGATGCTTCGGACACGGGTATAGGTGGTGTACTCACCCAGATTCTGGAAGGGAAAGAAACAGTTATTAGTTATGTCAGCCGAGCGTTGAGTAGGTCTGAGAGGAAGTATTCTGTGACAGAGCGAGAATGTCTTGCAGTCATCTTTTGTATTGATAAATTTCGGCCGTAACCCAACTGGTAAGTTAGCCAGGTGGGCAGTGCGGCTCCGTCAACATTCGTTTCAGCTCACTCATCGGAAAGGTTCTTCAAATATAGTTCCTGATGCCCTTTCTAGGATACCTCATCCAGACTCTGAAAATCTGGAAATTTGCTTTATTGGATATATCTCCAGATGACTTGGATGCTTGGTATATTTCTATTCGTCAGAACATTATGGATAGTCCCGATAAGTATCAGCAATGGAAAGTCGAAAACGGCTAAGTTTATAAGTTCACCCCGACCAAACTTCCGGTGAGAACCAATACGAGTGAGTGGAAAATTTTAGTCCCAAGGAAATTACGAAATCAAGTGATTAAGTCTTGCCATGATCCCGTAACTTGTTCCCATTTTGGTTTCAATAAAACTCTGGCTCGAGTACAGGAGTCTCACTACTGGCCAAAGATGCGACCGGATGTCCATAAGTATGTTCGTCGATGTCAGATTTGTGGGTCCCAAAAGGATGCTCCAACCGCTCGAATGGGTCTAATGGGTGGTGAAAAAAATGTGCAGTTTCCATGGCAGATAATATCGCTAGACTTGATGGGTCCATTTCCTCGTTCGTCCAAAGGTAATACGCATCTTTTTGTAGTAGGAGACTGGTTGACGAAATATTGTCTTCTACACCCTATGAGGAAGGCAACTGCTCAGGGTATTATCAAGTTCATTGAGAATCAGGTATTCCTCACCTTCGGCGTCTGTCAGTACATTTTATGTGACAATGGGTCCCAGTTCGCTGGATCAGTTTTCAAGAAATTCGCAAACGAATATCAGGTGCAAAAAATCTGGTTCACACCTAGCTATGCCCCTCAATGTAATTTCGTCGAGAGAATGAATAAAACCATTGATACGGCTATTAGATGCTATGTTAATGATCATAAGGATTGGGACATCGAGTTACCCAAAATTCAATATGCCATTAACACGGCTAAGCACGAGGTAACTGGGTATTCCCCATCTTTCCTGAACTTCGGCGGGCATGTTCCTCTGTCCGGAAAGTTTTATGGTGCAGTAGAGTCTACAGCAGATGTGGAGATCACACCTGGAGATAGGAAGTCCTATACAGCCGAAATGAGAGAGCTTTCAAAGGTATTTGATGAAGTTAGGACAAAGTTACACTCTTCATACGCTCGTAATGCAAAATATTATAATTTGCAAAAAAGGGACGTGTCATTCCAGGAAGGAGATAAAGTTTGACGTCGTAACAAGGTCTTGTCTGATGCGTCTTCTGAATTATCTTCCAAACTAGCTCCAAAATATGTACTTTGCAAAGTTAAAAGGAAATTGAGGTGACTTGTAGCTGTTTTGCACCTATACCAAGTGTAGTTTTGTATATTTTGCAGTGTTGCATTGAGGAACAATTTCCCGAGACGTGTTTTGGTTCAGTAGAGTCATATAATGATGCTGACCAACTAAGACATGTGGGTTTGGCCACCCCTTGTTTTTTTTGTTTTGTTGTGCTATAAGCAAGTACTTATATTCCAGTAAGGGACGCCTTACAGTGGAAATTATTGAGTAGTTTGTATGAATACTTGTCATTAGGGCTGGGAATTTATTTCGATATATCGATATTTTATCGAATATTCGATATATCGAATAAATATTTGATTATTCAAATATTCAAATATTCGAATAATGGAATATTCAAATATTCGAATAATGGAATATTCAAATATTCGAATATTTGATTATTCAAATATTAAAATATTCGAATATTTGAATATTTGATTATTCAAATATTCAAATATTCGAATATTTGAATGATCGAATTATCGAATATTAGACCTATGTAGATATACGTACTACGTAGGTACCTACTTGAATATAAATAATATATATAGTATGAATAAATACTGTCTGTAGGTTAATCGAGGATGTGGTACATTCATTTTACTTGGTTCTTTGGGATTTTCTCTCCTCGTTTCTATAAAATAAAAGTATTTGTATTATTTCAATATATTTGAAGAGAAATCGAAGTGTCGGAAAATACTGAAATTCACAGGATCGCATTGAAAAGTAGTTGACTCACCGTATACAAAATATTTATACCTTATCTCAACAACAATCGAATGCGTTTTTGCATTGATTATGATGTATCGTTCAAACGTATCTGTTTTTATTACATTTGTATTAAGATATAGTGAATAAAATTTTTCGAAAATGAATCATAAAATTCGGTAATTTTTCATAATATCCTATAAATGAGCTTGCTCTCATGAAGTATGAGAGGAAATTCACCCTTTCTGCATATTAACATTTTGGGAAAACACTGTTCTCTTTCAAATATAGATAAAAAATTTCGAAACATTGGGAATTGTCAGCTAACTAATTCTCCAAAATATATTTACTGCAAACTCTACATATTATTATTTCTGAAACAATAAATTTAGAATATAAACTTTGGAATTCATGCATTTTTCATGTTTAAGGTATCAGGTGCAAGACGAAGACTTATCACTTCCTGATCAAAGTATCGTGCCCATTGATGACAGAAATACTAGGACGTATAGTACTGCTACTGCTAGTAGCGAGTGTAGCGACACTAGCGACGTAGTGTCAAAAGCCTATCAACTTTCTGATGTAACAATATCTGAAAATTTTAGTATGAAAAATATTCAACAGCCAACCCTTCAGTCATTCACAGTCACAAAGAGACGATGCAAAAAAATTGACTATGCCTTGACATATTTCATAGCGGTAGATATGCAACCATTTAGCGTTGTGGAAGATATTGGATTTCGAAATTTGATTGAAGTTTTACAACCCTCATATTCGATGCCCTCTATAAAAACAATCAGTGAGGTAGAAATCCCCAAATTATATCATACCACTAAAGATTCAATCATGAGATTACTTGATACTACTGATTTCAAGGCATTTACAACTGATGCTTGGACTTCTGCTGCATCTAAACCCTACGTGTCTTTGACAGCACATTTCATTTTGGGATGGGAAATGAAATCTGTAACATTGAATTGCAGAGAAATGACAGAAGATCATACCGCTGAAAACATGGCTTCAGTTTTATTAGATTTGTTGAGGGAATGGGAGATTCCTCGAGAGAAAATTATATCTTTCATAACAGATTCTGGGGCTAACGTGAAGAATGCTGTGAAGCTTATGAATTTTCAACACGTTAGTTGCCTAGGGCATAATATGAACCTTGCAATTTCAAAAGTATTTCGATGGTGGTCGATGTTAAATTTAATCAAGGCCATAATAGACAATAAAGTACCACTCAGACAACTATTGGAGGATTATCAAAATGGAAAACATCGTAACCTCACCTTGACAATAAGTGATATTGATAAAATGAAGTTCTTAGTTGATATTTTGTATCCAATTATGGAAATTACTGATGTGATGACTGGAGAGAAATATATCACTGGATCAGCGATACTCCCTCTGTGTATGCAAATAAAAAATATGACCTATTCCATAGATACCGATAAAACGAATGTAGTTGAAGAAATGAACGTGATTAAGGTTCACGTAGTTGAGAATATTTTAAACTATTTTGAAGATAGATATATCCGTAACGAAAATGTCAGAGATTTCTTGACGAAATGTTCTCTTCTGGATCCTCGTTTCAAACATTTTGAGATCGATGGAAAAAATTCATCAGAGATTCAGAACAACATTCTGGATGAGGCAAATACAGTGCCATATATGAATAATGATGAAAGTAAACCTGACAATTTTAAGAAAAGGAAATTTGGTTCCATATTCACATTATTTAAACAAAACGAGGTTTCTGAGGGACACAATGGGAGGGAAATTGAAGTACAAAAATATTTCCACTACGACTCTTTGGAGATAGATGAAGACCCCCTAAAGTGGTGAGAAAATAATAGCAACAAATTTCCAATTTTATCACAGCTGGCTAAAAAATACCTGTCGGTACCAGCGACAAGTGTATCATCAGAGAGAGTATTCAGCAAAGGAGGTAACGTTATATCGGATCGCAGAACATCTTTGACCTCAGAACATGCAGAACAACTGATATTCCTAAGTGTTAATAAGAAGTATGTGCCCATTCGAATTGACTAGATCTTTATTATTAACAAATGTTTAGCATATTGTTTTTCATATTTTTTTTTTAGAGAATCTATTACGTTTTGTAGTTATTATATAGTTAATTGAAAATTGCCTTCAACAAATAAATGATCTTTTCAATTTTTTTTTTAATTTTCGAGTCAATCAACTATCCGGTACCCTATAGAGTGTAGTTATAGGCCATTAACTCTATACGAAGGTTAAAGGTAGGTATGCATAATAATATAAATATATATTCCATAATTTTTACTCAGAAATGCTCAGAATATTATTTACTCCATCATAATTTCCCAGATAATTTCACACTACTTTCCCCATCAAGAGCATACCTATCATATTCTTTAAATTAATTATTGATAATTGACATCCATCTTAGCATATTATTACTCATATTCGTATGAAATCTGAAGGATATAAATAAAAACAAATAGTGATGTTTCTGGTGGTGATGAAGTTATTTGACAGTAAGTTACTCAATCAATATCTAGAACGAATGTATAGTGAGAATAGTAATTCGAAAAAATTGAAATCCATTCGATATCGAATATTTGTCTTAATTGTCGAATATTCGATATATAGGGCATTCGATATATCGTTTATTCGAATTATTTGAATATTCGAACATTTGAATATTCGAATATTTGAATATTTGAATATTTGGATATTCGAATATCTGAATATTCGAATATTTGAGCATTCAGATATTCGAATATTCGAATATTCAAAATATTCGAATATTCAAATATCTGAATATTCGAATATCTGAATATTCGAATAGTTGAATATTCGAATATCTGAATATTCGAATACGTATTCGAATATTTGACTATTTGAATATTCGAAAATTTGGATATTCGATATATCGGATATTCAATATATCGAATATATCGATATATTTTGGATATCGATATTCGATATCCAATATCCGATATCGCCCAGCTCTACTTGTCATTATCCTAGTAGGATACTTTTGGCTGCAGGGAGATCCTGCTAATTATTTAACGATTGTTAGCTTTGATATGGCTTTGATAATTGGTACCCCTTCATTCCCCTCTATCATAGATTGTTGACAATTGATATTATTAACAATATCGGTATCCTGTTGAACTTTTTATCAATTTTGATTGATAAGAATGTTGATAAATAACCAATGTTCATAAACCTGTCGATAGCAAATGTAACAATCGTTAAATATGACAAACATAACCTAACTGCTCAAAAACCGTGACAAAAACTATCATGCAAAAACTTTACAAATGGTAGAATGGTAGAGAATTTTGTTTCGAGCAGATATGTGCCAATTTGAGAAAGGTGATAAAGAGGTATAAAAGCTGAGTAGTGGAATTTCTTCATTTTTGTGATATAGGTATAACCTATGTATACGTACATACAAAATGGATCAATTTCTCATGAAATTTCTATTTATTCCAACAATACCCTCGTTTTCAGAACATAAAGAATTAAGGTACTAAATACAGATGGATCCACTATAAGAAGTTTTCGTGTTCGACCTGAACACAAGGAAGTCATACTGGAAGAAGCAGAGAAGAATCCTGTACTCATTACCATGAACTTCTCAAAAGCAAATGCCAGGGCACATTATAACAAGAGTTGGAGCCTTCTAACTGCTCGGCTGAATTCACTAGGCTATGGTGATAAATCTGAAGATAAATGGCGAAGGGTGAGATGTTCCATTATTATTTATTTATGAGTGTAAATATTAATCAACATTTTTCCAGGTGTTGGTTGATTGGATATCACTAACAAAATCAAAATATACTAAAATTAAAAAGGATAGAGAAAAAACAGGAGGAGGTCCACCCAACAATATTCAACTGAATCCCCAAGAAGAAAGATTGATGGCAATAAAAGGGTATAGTAGTGTTGAAGGTGATGGCACAACAACAGAAATTGGTTTTTTACCAACAATATCAACTATCTCAGAAAATCCTATTATTTGTGAAACTGATAGTATGCCAGAAGACATGCAATCAACAAGTCATACATATATACATAATGATTCTATTGATCAAGAAGATATTATTATCTCAGTCGAAAACATGGAACCAGTTGAACAAAAAAAAAAAACGCCACAAACTTGATAATACTTCATCAAGAAAATCTATAGAACCCAGCCAGCACAAAGAGGTCCTAAAGATATCTTGAAGAAATCCTATTAGGAAATTGTGATGCCTTTTGTAACTTCTTTGAGAGATCGCCGAGAGTGCTATATCTAGGCTAAATGTCCGCCACCTAGGCTGAGCTCAGCGAGGTCTTGAAGATATCGCACGCAGAAATTCTCATACAATTCCCTCAAGCGCGCACTTTGAGATATACGCTTCCATCGCCACTGGCGATAACTGAAAGTGCTTGCAATCATGAGCTGTTCGAGAAATTCGCATACATTGCTTTGCGACGAGGACATTGGGAGATTCGCATCAATTGCTTCTGGCGAGGTCTTTAAGTGCTCGCGACTACGAGCTGTTTGAGATTTTCGCACGCATCGCCTTGTGAAGAGAACTTTGGGAAATTTGCATCAATTACTAATAGCGAACTCTTCAAGTGCTCGCAACTATGAATTGTTCAAGAATCCGTGCACATCGCCTTATAACGAGGCTTTATGAGCGATATTTGCATCAATCGCCACATGATCGCCACTAATATGGTAATGTATTCAATTTTTGAGAAGTCATTGGATATCAGCAGTCTCCTGTCGGCGAAGTCTAACTAGCGCCAGCTATATTGTTTGGGGTGGAGTTAAATTTACTGAATATTTGTTTCAGCGAAAAAGATTGAGTTACCAAACTTAGAGTTAGATCAACGTAATGAGCTTTAATTATATATTATTCTATAGCAAGACATTGATCAAGTAAACTTCATCACTTGAAGAAATCTCCGAGTAGTTGGCCGGGTATTCTTAAAAAAAAAGGTCGTCCGATATCTACTCACGAATTGGAGGTAGATAATTGATTCTCGATCCCACCTGAATTGGAACATTTTTGTCTTTTTCGTCAGAGCAGATAATTAATTATCATTAATTCACTGCAAAATTTGAATTAATCTTCCATAATGGCGGAGAGATAATAATATGACCTGTTGAACACATTCTCTGAGACAGTAAGAAAATCTAGTATCTGTTTTATTATTATATACTGAATATATTTAGCTTGGTGAACCCTTAGTACAGACTCACGTGGTTGAGGTTTTGGGGTTCAGGAATGAAACAACCTTACATTGTTGTGTCGGCCAGGCAAATGGACGAGTCTTTATTCCCACCAGCAGTATCACAGATTCTCCATGATTCATGGAATTATATGTCAATGTCAAATGTCAACTCGTGACAACTTCAATCCTTTACATCTTCCTTCTTTTAAATGAACAATATAATTTACAACAGTGTACAATTTACAAAATTACAAATTCGCAAATTATTATCTCCCAAATAATAAATTATAAGTACCTGAATATATATATCTCTGTGCCTTCCTTTTGACGACCTTTCACAACAATAATGATATACTTTTATAAACAAAACATAGAATAGTAAATATAGATAGCAAATATATAGTAAAATACAAACTTTCTCATCAATAGACACATAATAACATTCAACAATAGGGACATATACAATTATACCATTAAATACAAACTACGGACTAAATCTAAATGGGGGTCTCACATATCTTCCGTACCTGGTTTGTGTTTGTGTTTCTCTGAGTTGATCATTCATAGGTGTACCAAAATCTGAATTATTTTCATTATTTGTTGGACTATCAGAATCAGATTCACTATTTGTTGGACTATCAAGATACTCATTTTCCTCCTTTTTTTCTTGATCATCATTGAATGCATTGAAAACAGTTGGTAAATAATCATGCCCATTGAAATTGTCATTATGACTTTCTTTATCATTAACTTTGATTAGATGTTTTCTATTTCTTGTCACCAAATTATTGCTTCTTTTCAACTTAATATCATATGATCTCGGCTCATCTCTCTTTTTGATAACTATACCATCTAACCACATCTCTTTACTCTTAATATCATGATTTCTTACTTTAACATTGTCCCCTGCTTTAAGTATACTCAGTTCCTTACTACTTTTGTCATAATTATTTTTTTGCTCAACTTGCCTTTCTTTTAATTGATTCCTGGTTTCAGAAAAAGGTTGTATTTTAGGTTTAAGTAATTTTTCTTTAATTGGTAGGGTAGTTCTTAATCTCCTACTGAAAATTAATTGTGCTGGACTAGGTAAATTTGCAGAAATTGGTGTGTTACGTGAGTCTAGAAGTGCCAATTGTACATCAGTTCCAGATTTTTGACATTTTATAAATACATTTTTCACGGTTTGGACAAATCTTTCTACTTGGCCGTTACTTTGAGGGTAGTGGGGACTTGATGTTACATGACGAAATTGCCATGAATTACTGAATTTTTTGAATTCACTAGCAGAAAAACAAGGGCCATTATCAGAAATTACTATATCTGGAATACCATGAACTGCAAATATTCTTTTCACAGCCTGTATTACTTTTTCACTTGTTTGGCTCTGTAATTCAGTAACTTCTACAAATTTTGAGTAGTAATCAACAATTATGAGATAATATTTATTGTTGAATTGAAATATATCTATCCCAACCTTTTTCCAAGGGCCTAGAGGAATATCATGGGAAATTAGAGGCTCACTTTGATTATTATTGCGATTTGACAGACAGGTGTCGCATGATTCAATAACGTTATCTATTTCTTTAGACATATAAGGCCAAAATACAAATTGTCGAGCATTTAACTTGGTTTTTTCTTTACCCAAATGTGGTACATGTAATCTTGCTAAAATTTCTTTTCTCAAAGATTTTGGTACAAAAAGTCTGTCATTTTTATATATGAGTCCCTGAGCACATGACAATTCATCTCTGAAAGTCCAATATATTTTGAATTCCTCCTCCAGATGCTCTTTATTCTTTGGGAAACCATTACTTATCAGATTCATTAGTTTTACCAAGTGTTGATCAGCCGCTGTCTCTTTTTGAAATATTCTGTATTTGTATGGCGTTATAGGAATATTATTTGTTACTAAACAGAGGTGCCTTTCAATCTCATTACATTTTTTCTCGAAATTTTCATCAAAATTATCTTGATAGGCTCTACTTAAAGCATCTGCAATATGCAAATCCTTGCCTTTTTTGTATACCAGTTTGAGTGTGTATGGTTGTAACATTAACAACATTCTTTGCAACCTTGCTGGGGCATTTAACAATGGCTTATTGAAAATATAAATGAGAGGTTTGTGGTCTGTTTCAATAGTAACATCTGATCGTCCATAAATAAAATAATGAAACTTTGCACAGGCATGAGTAATTGAAAGAAGCTCTTTTTCAATTTGAGCATATTTACATTGAGTTGATGTGAATGCTTTCGATGCATATGCTACTGGTGCATTATTTTGGAGTAGAACTGATCCACAACCTCCCTGGGAAGCATCACATGAAAGGACGACAGGTAATTTGGGTGAGTAGTACTGTAAAACTGGTGCTTTAACTAAAAGTGATTTCAATTTTTCAAAAGCCTCAATCTGTTCAGTACCCCAACGGAAAGTTGCATCTTTTTTTATAAGTACCCTCAGTGGGTCTGTTACTTCTGAATAATTTGGAATAAATCTATTGACAAAATTAATTATGCCTAAAAACCTTTCTATATCATTTCCTGTAGTAGGTGTTTTAAAATCCAAAACTGCTTTTATTTTATTTTCATCTACCTCCAAACCATTTTTAGATATGTGAAACCCCATGTATTTCACAGACTCTACACAAAATTGACATTTACTTAAATTCAGTTTCAAATTATTTTGCCTGGCTATGTTCAAAACATTTTCTAATTTTTTATTGTGTTCATCCAAATCCTTGCCCCAAATCAAGATATCATCCACATAAAGTCCTATTCCTTCCACCCCCTCAAAAATATCCCTAATTTTTCTCATAAAAACTTCTGGAGCAGAGCAAATTCCATATGGTAATCTCAAAAACCGATATCTACCCCATGGGGTATTGAAAGTCGTTAGTTTACTACTGTTTTCATCTAATTCAATTTGCCAAAACCCATTACTGCAGTCAACAACAGAAAAATATTTTGCTCCATTCAGCTTGCTAGTAATTTCATCTAAGCTAGGTAAATAAAAATGTTCTCTCTTAACTGCTTGATTAAGGTCCTTAGGATCAATACAAATTCTCAAATCATTGTTTGGTTTTTTAACAATTACCAGGCTATTCACCCAATCAGTTGGCTCACATATCTTTTTGATGACATTGGCTTTCTCCAGGTCTGCAAGCTTCTCTTTGAGGGGCTGGTGAAGGGCATAGGGCACTTTCCTTGGGGGATGGACTTTGGGTGGCACATTCTCATCTAGTATAATTTTGTATTTCCCAGACAGACAACCAAGTCCCTGAAACACATCAGAATATTTCTTAATCAACTGTTCACATTTTCCTTCATTATTAATGGTCCCTACATAATTTCTTTTTATCAAGTTCAACTGTACACAAGCATCAGCACCTAAAATTGGTGTCTTATCAGTTTTAACTATATGAAATAAAATTTTGTTCATGTTACCTTTGACGTTACATTGTCTAACTTTCAGATAAACTGTACCTAAAGACAATATTTTATTTCCTGTGTAGCCAGTTAGATTTGAATTAGTTTGGCACAATTCTTCATCAGGTATATTCAATTTTACAAGATAATTATGAGGTAGAATTGAGCAATCTGCTCCTGTGTCTAACCTGAATGTGACCTTTATTTTGTTGTTTACATAGAAAAGACAAATCACACCCTTCCACATTGAAAAATTCATCCTGTTCAAATTCAACTCGATTTATGTTATTAGTATATCTACT